ACTGAAGGTGGGTGAGTGAGTGTGAGAGTGAGTGAGTGTGAGAGTGAGAGTGTGAGTGTGAGTGAGTGAGTGAGAGTGAAGGTGGGCGCGAGTGAGTGTGGGTGAGAGTGAGTGAGCAAGTGTGAGTGAGAGTGAGTGTGAGAGTGAGTGTGGGCGAGTGTCGAGTGTGCGTGTGAGTGCGAGTGCGAGTGTGAGTGAGAGCGAGTGAGAGTCTGCGAGTGGGAGAGTGAGTGAGTGTGAGGAGTGTGTGGCTGTGAGTGGGAGTGGCAGTGTGAGTGCGAGTGTGAGTGAGAGAGAGTGGGAGTGTGAGGGAGTACTGCGCCTGCCACGAAATCTGCACTTCGAAGTTCACCAAGCGGTGCGCCTGCCACGAAATCTGCACTTCGAAGTTCACCATGCGCTGTGCCTGCCACGGAATCTGCGCTTCGAGGTTCACCAAGTGCTGTGCCTGCCACGAAATCTGCACTTCGAGGTTCGCCAAGTGCTGCTGCCACGAAATCTGCACTTCGAGGTTCACAAAGTGATGTACCTGTCACGAAATCTGCACTTCGAGGTCCATCAAGTGCTGCACCTGCCACGAAGTCTGCACTTCGAGGTTCACCAAGTGCTGCGCCTGCCACGAAATCTGCACTTCGAGGTTCACAAAGCGCTGTACCTGTCACGAAATCTGCACTTCGAGGTTCATAAAGTGCTGCACCTGCCACGAAGTCTGCACATCGAGGGTTCGAGTGCTGTGCCTGCCACGAAATCTGCAACCGAGCCACATGTCCAAAAGTCACGATTCACTGCACCTGTCACGAAATCTGCGCTCCTCGACAACCACCATGTCCAAAGTGCTGCACCTGCCACGAATACTGCATATCGAAGCAAAACACCTCCGATCCCTTGCACCTGTCACGAAAAGTCGACTTTGGAGCACCAAACCAAAAGGTTTCCCTAGCGCCTGCCACGAAAAGTGACCACCATGTGCGAAAATGCGCACGGCACCACAACGAGAGTGCTGGAAGCACCTGCCGCCGGCCCCCAGATTCTGCGAGCCTGCGCAGTCGAAGTGCACATGGACGATGTCGAGAGGCATGAATGTACTGTAAATAGCAACGAATTAGCCGTTCCCGCCCGCGCGCCTCAGCGATCTAAGCACACCTTCTTTTCCCCTACCGTAAGAACCCCTCAGTGTGCCCACACTGTTTGGGGAAAAAATTAACAGAAAGGGCTGGACTACTAATGTAAAGGTGGGATTAATACACATCCCATTAATCTGGAGGAGGGATCGTAACTGCCAAAAGGCATAAGCAAATAATGAGCCAGCATGAGAAAAAGGCTGAGAAGAGAGGGAAATTTATAGTACATTATAGTACCTTCGGATAAAGGATTAGGATAGTGAAGAAAGAGAAAGAACAATCAGGAGATAAATTGTCCAAATCAATTTGGGGAGTTGGAGCTCGGGTCGTCTTTTTGGTATAAACCCATTGAATCCGGAGCAAGGACGCTACTATAGGGGCTCCTAGCCTCGCTACTAGGAACAAGAACACTACTAGGTGGACATTGATCACTAGGGTGCCAAAGCAATTCAATCTAGGGTTCAGGTGAAGAATGGAGAGTTGTGCCCTAGGGTTAGGGTGGGACCTACCTTCCTTGCTCCTAGTAGCGATGCCAGGAGCCCCTAATGGCGTCCTTGCTCCTAGTAGCGATGCCCTTTGTTCCTAGTAGCTTCTTGCTCCTAGTAGTAAGGCCAGGAGCCCCTAGAGCATCAGGATATTCTTAGATACAGCAGTTGTAGTATTGTAGCCGTCACCTGTCCTGCAAATGCACACACTATGCACCATTTCTGGCGGACAACATATATATATATATTATATATATATAAGGAATTACTCTGTGAATCGGGCTTCCAGAGGGGTATCCGGGCTT